TTAATCGGAAGTAATTCCGCCCTCGTCATCTGTCTCATAGATCAGAGTACCCTGAGCCTTGAAAAAGGATCTCAAATAGTCTTTTGTAGTAAGCCCACTAGTAGCTCATACCGCTTCTCTAGTTCAGGTGGTTTAAAAGTTATGCTATTGCTTCTTTGAAAGCGTTGGAGTGAAGAATAATTTATGAATAAAAATTTAAATTTTAAAGATAACATTCAAAAATTTTAATTTTAATGTTTGTAAGAATAATTTATTTTTTATTTTTAAATTACGATATTTTTTATGTATAAAAAATTAGATGGGTTTCTTTTCAATTTCATGCTATATATAAGTGGAAAGAAGAAATCTTAATGTCAAATTAATTTAATTTTATATCCTTTTTATTTTATATAATTTATATTTTATTAATTTAATCATTAAATTATATATTTTATTTATGTAAATTATGCATATCAAATTTTAAATTAATAAAAATATTTAATTTTGTTTAATAATAAAAAATTTTCAATCGTTAATATATATTTAAATATAATATTCTTGATGCAATTGTAAAATAAATTGACTTGAAATTTATCTGCAAGTTATATACAAAGTAAATTGTTAAATCTAATAATCAATTTATAAAATTATTAATCGGTCATAAAATTATAAAAAAATATAAAATTAATTTTACTGTGATCCTTATATATATATATATAATTTAACTGATTGATGAGTAAGTGCAAACAGTGGGGACATCTACTCCTATCCCTCCATAAATCACAGTATTTATTTATTAAAAAAAAATTCATCTTGCCTAAAACATTCAAACTATATATATATATATATATAATTAATTAATTAGACCTTTTTTTATATTAGTACAAAATTAAAAATTTTATTTTTTTAATTTATTAATTTTAATATATTCAAAAAATGAGAGAGATAAAAGAAAAAAAAAAGAGTTTAACCTCATTTTTAAAATCTATTAAAATTATTATTAAAAATATATATACATATATATTTGTTATATATATATATATATATTTGTTAAGTTACATCCAAGCTATGATTAAAATCTTATATTAACTCCTCGACAGTATAAAATCTTGATTAAAAAAAAAAAAAAGATAAATTTATAATTTTAATATTAAATATTCAAATCCTAACGATTTCTAATTTAAGAAAAAAAATTCTTGTTAAAATTTTCTTTCCATCAACCCATGGATTTATACGCCAAAAATAAAAGTTAAAGTTTGGCAACACCTAAGGTGATGTAATACATATATATTTTTAACAAATCACTTTTAAACAAAAATAGACGAAGGGTTGATCATTCGATTGTCATCTTTCTTTTTAAGATTAAGGTCCGAAATTCAAATATTTTGCTCTTACTTTAAAACTCCTCATTTTTACCCAACAAAATCAAATTGAACGAGTCAACTTATATTAATAATAATAGTAATAATAATATAATAATAATAATAATATATGAAATTCCTTTTTAAAACGTTACAAATCAATTTAGTAGGTATAAAGACAAAATAGACTATAATTTGTTAGAAGCACTCAGTGTCATTGTCAACACATCATTTTTACTTTGGGTATTGTTACTTTATCAGTACTGGTGTATTTGTTTCGAATTTATTGATATTTTAAACTTTTTTTTTAATATTGCTCTGATAACATATTGTATATATTATGTATACAAAAAATGCACAACTCCATTACATATATACATCTATATATATATATATAAATTTATTATTAAATAGGTTCAATAGCCTATTTTAATGACCATATTTTATATTGAAGTTATGAAAATGTAAAAATGATGATGAGAGAAAAAAATTAAAATTTATAAAAGAATCAAATTAAGTTGAAAAAATTAAAAGAAAAATATTAAAGCAAAATTTAATAAACCAAATCGGATCCTTACAAATTGGTACAAGCCAGATTGAATTGTATAAATTGGTACGGTCAATACAAAATTGAAATGGTATACATATGATATTGTAATAGATTTTTCTTTAAAAATTAATACATACCAGCCGGTATCACCAATATTGGTACGATACAATAACCAAACATTTGATTCAACTGTGTTTCTTATATACTCAAAACAACTGAATTTCCTTTTTTTTTTTTCTTTGATCAAAGAATTTCCATTTCTTCAATATTGTACTCATAAAAAATGTGTACTAACCATAAAAACGGGAAGCAATTAGGTGTAATCGAGTATAAAGATAAGCAAAGCCCAAATGTCCACTAAAATTTTCGATAGTATAGGCTCTAGCTGGTAATATAAACTCAAGACAGTGCCCAACATTGACTTTGCCTCCTATTAGTTTCACATATGAGGT